CTCTTTCCATAGCTTTTTCTGACAATCAGCACTATGCCAGTTTACTTTGGCATTTAAGCTTTACTAAAAAAAAGTATTTAAGTACCAAAAAAAGATGTCTTACTCCAACAGGAAACAGAAGTGTTAGGCACAGAAAGCTGCGATGGTCTCGCACAAGGACGTACAGAACACATCGTTTAGACTTGCCTGCTTTATCAGCCCTAACATCCAAAGGGGAACACATGGGCACGAACACACAGATGCCTGTAAGCCAGCCTGCTGCCAGCAGGAAAAGCTGATAGCACAGGAATGCTGTGCACAGCTGGGCAGGATGGTGCTGGCGTTGATAAAATGCCAAATGTGCCAACTGCAACTCCACATTATCTCTTGGTTTTGCCAGCACGGCCACTTCAAGGTATGATGAAGGTCAAATAATTTGCAGAGGTCAACTGTGAACGAACACACCAAACTTGGATGCTGCATAAAGGGAAATCCACAACATCCTCAACCCAACACCACTGCAAACAGGACAAATGCCAACGCAGTAGGAACAGGGGTTTCCAGGTGGAGGTAACTGGTCAGTAAATCAGGCTCAACAGAGAGTAAGGCATGCTGAGAGCTTGTGCTGCTGCCACTCACGCCAACCATTGTAACAGGTCAGCTGTACTTCCAACCCCTTACACCACTAATATGCTAATGTACTCTTTACATTTCCTGGATGAGATATCCATAAAACATGTTTACATTTGCTGTGGAACTTGCCAGGATAACTCAAGACCCAATAGCGACCTCCCTCAGCACTGACCTACCTGAGGGTCAAGTCACCATCTCTACTCAGAGCTCCGCTACACGAAGCTGGCAGTTTGAGAAGTTACTGAAAGGGGTTTAATCTGTGCAGCATTCCTGATGCTAACAGCAAGGCCACTGCTTGGTAGCACAACTCCCCTGGCAACAAACATCTGAAGAGGCTCCCACTGGCTCCAGGTTCCTGCTTCCTCAGCAACACAACCCCTCAGGCCTGGCCAGCCAACGGGGAAAAGGGACCAGGTGAAGGACTCACCAACACAGTGTCTCACTGAGATCTGATGAGGGAAGAGTTCAGGATGCAGCTCCATGAAACTACTTCAATGGCACCTCTACGGTGGTTACAGACCCTGGCAGAGAAGGGAACCTGTCTGCTGGGGATGAGGGAAACTAGGGCAGGCCCTGCTGCTGGGGACCAGCACGGCCTCTCACTCTGCTCCACTAGCTGAAGCAGTGCCCCAGGACAAGTCAGGTTTTGGTTACTGTATGCCTGCATTTATTTTCAAGAACAGTTTTTTGCACACTGGCAGCATCTAAACACATGACTTGTGGGTTAAGAGCAGCACCTTTACACCTCTTCCCTGCTGTGTGCCACTAACAACTCCCTGGCATGTCAGCAGCAGCGATACTGACACTACAAGACTCAAAATGTCTTTTTCTGGGGCTTTTAATTTTTGTTTTGTTTAGTTAAAAGACCATTTTATCATTCAATTTCAGGAACACATAATATAAACAAATAAATGAAAACAAACTCCTCAAAGTTTTGCTTCTAGAATCAGTTTGAAAACTCTCAATGCTACCTATGATGATGTATTTTTAAAATTTCTACTATAATACATAGTTATGTATTTTTAAAAACACAAACACGAAGGCGTACAGAATAAAGCACCATCTAAGAATCAGCAGTTGAGCTGTGTTTTAATGGAATATTATCTTGAGGCTCCTTAAGAAAAGTAGAAAAGGAGAGCTCCTTGTTTCACAGGTGGGCAGGGAGGCCTCTGGCAGCAGCTGGTGGGGAGCAGAGTCCACCTCCGGCCAACCCCAGCTACCAAGCTCAACCAGAGCTCTCCATTTTCACAGCTGACTGGAGAAGGACAGAACTAGGGAGAGGAACGGCCCAGACGTAAGTCAATTTAATGGACAGAGCATGGGGAATAGAAGGTATTCAAAAGCTATTACAGAAATTGGCAAGTTGATAAAAAAAAATCACCCATGCCGTATCAGATTCCATCAACTGAAGATGTTACCCATGCTAAAAAAGGAGGTAACTCAGAGCAGACTCCTTGCACAACATTTTGATGCATACAATGCAACAATAGATTATAATCAAAACTGAATTCCACAGAAAACAAAACTATTTCCGTTTATTCCTTTTCAAATTTCCTGGTTTAAAAAGAATTAAAATAACGGAAAATGACTCAGTCTTTGGGGGGATGTTTTAGCAAATCGCCAAAAATCAGTTAACAAAATTAATGCCTAAGCACTCAGAACTGTTCTGTGGTCTAGGTACTACAACAAGCTTTGAAATAAAAATTATCCACATACCACAATCTAAAAACTACTGCCCAAATCTTGACCTTCTGATTTATCAATATGCCTCCTGCTGCAGCTGGTTCACACCAAATACCCTTTAGAGCTTAAAGCTCAGTTCAGCCTACACCTGAGCTGTGCTGACAGTGACACACAGAACACAACCCTTCTTGCAGCCAGTGTGTCATTATCAAGCCACAAAGCAGTTGTTCAGCAATGGCACCACGCAGGGACACACACACAGATCCTTCAGTCTGTTGCACCCTGTATTTAAGCTTTCTTTTTTTTTTTTTTACTGACAGCTGAAGTGGAAAGCACACCTCGCTGGAAGAGATCTTTAATCCAACACAGAACACTCCATAACATGGTCAACGAGATTCACTTTTCCTGCACTACTGCCTCCATCCACATACAACTACTACTCTCAGATCAGTACAAACATTTTTGTGTGACACTTTGTAAGACACGCAGAGCAGCAGCAGCGTGCTTAGGGCAGCACTGCAAGGCAGCAACATTCATACTTTACTTTCCTAATTAAAGCTACCTTAAGACAAAGTGCATTTTATCACAGAATCCAATGGACTCGCAGGTAATCGAATCACTTTCGACTATTAAAAAAGCCAACAAATAAACAAGCTCCTCTCTGCCAGGCAAGCCCCTTAGCTACGACATGTGCAAAGCTTCACAAACAGCTTAAGAAAATTATACTTCTCATATATTCTATGCATTCATTTCCGTAGCAAATATGGAAAGTCCTTCTACTATGATCAGCAAACTAAATAGCAATCTACCAGATAATAGGCTTATCCTAAAGAACATACAGAGTTTACATTTGTATGCTAATTTCAAACTGAAATGAATCTGAAGTGCAACAGAATTTCCTTGTTTTCGCTTCCCTAAGTACCACAGAACAAGTTTTATGCTATACAATTTACCCAGTACAACACTTTTGGGTCCACAACTTCTCAGAAAATGAAATAACACATTAATATTCCAATATGGCTACTATAAATTCCAACATCCCCTAATTATTATCTTAACATTTAAAATTGTTATGAACAAGTTGCTTGCTTAATAGAAGTTTGTTCTGCACACCAGTATTTTATTTTGAATCATATTAAGGCAAAAAATATTTACAGACTTACAGTCTATCACAGTTAATTTACTTGACTAGCACTAGCAAGTTTACAGAAACGAATATTAAAAATGACAGATTTTCATAAAAAACAAACCTGCTGAAAACCCACAAAGCAGGGGATGGTGAAGTTACAGTTTACAGAGAGATTCCAAAGAAAGACGCTTCCAACTTGTGTTGCTTTCCCACTCTGCAGATTTCATTAGAAAATGGAGGAGAAGCATGGTGTCATTTTACTGCTCCAGGAGCTGCCTGCCAACTCCTCCTGGAGCAGGGGCCCAGGGACTTCAGCTCCCTCTCCAATAAAAAAATGGCAGCTGTTTGAATAACTTTAATGCAGATGGAAAACAGTTTCTCACTCGCACAAAATCAGCGTACAAAGATCAAATCGTCTACTAAACCACACAAAGAACAGCACCAAGCTGTCATGTAAATGTTTCTTCTTGCTGCTGCTGAAGCTGACCGCTTAAAAATGTATTGTGCTGCTCCCTGCCTGTGTGTCGTGCCCCAAAGAGTTGTCAGTGCTGGAATGCTGAAGGGCAAACAGAGGAAGTCTGGCTTTCAAGCTGACACACGTAAGATGTAGTGCTAGAATTTTCGTTGTGGAAAAATGGCCGCAGCTGTAAGCTCAGCTAGCTGATCTGGAAAATATCTAACTGTTTGCCAATTCGTTAACCCCTGCAGGTCCACACAAAGGTAAGCTGTGTGCCATTCCTGAGCAACTTTAGAGCCAGCACTTCTTGCTCTGCTCATTTTGGCAATTTGCTTTAAATACTGAAAAGCTAACGTAACAATTTTTCCAATCAGGAAAAGCACAGTTAGGCAAGTGAAAAAAGAAACACAACAAAACACAGAAGAGTTAGTGTATTCAGGCAATTTTGCTTCGCAGAGAAGAAAACGAGTAAGAAGTTTCCAAGGTGGGAAATATGAGTCAAAGATTTCAATTCCACACCCAGCTATTTTTAAAGGCACTTTCCGTTTCAGTGGTTGATTCAAAGTTTATTCTGTTCTGCAATAAAAGTAGTACTTTGTGCCTCTGCCTTCTTCGGAGCAGAGGAACTCAGAACTGAAGACCGACAGATGTTTTCAGCTCTAGCTTGTGCTGTTTTGTAAAGCACAAAAGCACTGGGAACAACTGACACTGGCACCAACACCAACATCACTGTTCACATTTCATAAATTACTTCACAAGGGTTTTATGCACATTTATGCACATTTATGTACATTAGAGCGTGTGCAAAAAGGTATTTCATCTCACAGTGAAGTCTCATTCTGCAGAACTGCGCCCCAATTACTGACATGAGCACATACAGCAGAACTCAAACACTCTGAAATCACATTTACTTTGGAGTTTGGCTTGTCATTTCCTACTCATGGCCACTGCACGGTTTGCAAAGGTCTGTTTTTAGGGGAAATTCAGGGTAAATGCATCAATTTGCCCGTCTTTAATAGAACTGACATTAAACACAGAAAAAGTATGTATTCTGCCAAGCTGGAAGGAATACCACAACAACTGATAACTCTCCACTATTCTTGACAAGTAAGGACTTGCAAATTATACTTTTATTTCCTAAAATATCTGGCACAAGAGCACTTGGAGGGCACTTGTCGATGTACAAATACTCCAGCTGCTGCACAAAGAGAGAAACCTTCTACTTTGCAACTAAATAATTCATTCATCTAACTCCCATGAACTGCCTCTTCCCTTTTTTAACAAAACCAGATGTATAAAACTAGACAGGTTAGAATATCTGAAATCCACAGGAATGACACACATGCGTTTTTAATGGCAATACTAGAGTATTAAAACGTTACTTGTACCAGAAACATTTATATTAGCATAATCTTCACAATTTCCATTCCTGGTCCTGATCAGGAAAAGCAAATCAGCACTAGTAGCCTCCTAAAAAGGCAGTCTTACAATTTCACACAGACACTGGTAGCTACTTCAGCAGAACAGCAGTTTCTACCTTAGCTCATACAACATTTTGAAGCCATCCAAACAATGCTTAAAAAGAAGAAATGACCTCCCTATACACTGTAACCTCCCTCACCACTTAACCAGCTACTTTTCTGAAAGAAGAAACATAATTCTGAATTATTTAGAGATCCTATACTCCTGTATTTTATCTTCAGCTCATGCACAGAATAAATTATTTAAGACATTAACGTGATGGAAACTTTGAAACTAATGAAACATTAATTTGCATCCTGAATACAAGTAGGCAAAACTGTTGAAACAATAAAGAGCTATGTGCAACACAAGCAACAAATTTTGTTCCTGTGGCAAATGCTGCAACAAGTTGTGGATCTGAATCCCATGACTGTCCTTTAGAAGGTGCCAGCTGGCGTGTCTTTGACAACTCCCAATTCCTGCTAAACTTCCTGAAATATAATTTTAATAATAATGTAATGCTGAAGCTGGAGCTTAACACTTCCATCAGTAAACATTAGGCCTCCAAGAAGAAAATAAAATTTAAAAAAATTAAAAATTGTAAGAAAAGTATTTACTCTCTCCTTCAAAAGCAAGGTATTTTCTTTCAATTTGAAGAGTACCGGCAGGCAGCCCACTGAGCAGAATTACTGCTCCCGTCTTCATGCTATTTTCAGCCTTTAGCCTTTGCAGGCTAGTCCCTGATGTGACACATGAATGCCAGTGCAGCATAAGGACACAGGTCAAATGTTCATTCAAAATGGGTATTATTTACAGCAAAATGCTTTAGCATTCTCTGTCTTCACTATATTTTCAGATACATTTTATTATTTCAGATAGAAACATTTTCACAATTCTTTAAATCTGGTATATTGTCTCAGGAGCCTTACA